TCATCTATATTATATATATATATATATATATATTATATATATATACATATATTATGCACACATGCACGCGCGCTCACATTTATATATGCATGGGTTTAAAATCTAGTATTATATATAATCTTCATATGAATATTTTTTTCATATACCTCACTGCAAAAATATCAGATGTATATTTACAAATTCAAATCATCGATATTTTATTATCTCACTGGTTCCTCTTTTTATCATAACAGTTTGCATTGTCTTACCTGCCAATCTATCCATACCCACGCTGGAAGACAAATGCACATACACACATGTACGCATACACACATACATCCACGCGCGCGTATATACTCGCGCGTATGTGTGCCTTTGCTTTCTGTACTTGAACTCATGTGTTTATTTAGCCTCAAGTAGTATAAAGATGATACGGATAGTAATCATTGCAAATAGAAATGTGAACCTGATAACAATAGCTAGAAAAGTTAATTACTAGTACGAACTCCTTCAGGTTGGAGCTTTAAAAAATCATGTGTTGAGAACATGCACTGTAATTATATTGACCTACAGGATTAAGTCATAATTAGCTTGTTATCATCAGTCACCCTCATATCTATGGTTCCAAATCTTTTCATGAACAATATTGTTCTGATTAATCTTTACACGGACCTGAGGTTTTTAAAGGGCTCGTCTGCCTAACAACCTAGTTTTGACTTGTAGCGAGCTGTTTTTTCCCCAATTTTTATCTATGGAATGAAAGACTTTACTGAATACACAATTAGTTCTAAATCGAACACACGGAACTGTATTTTCTCTTTTTTTTTACTGATTAACCATAGGCGTAGCAAGGTATTTTGAAGTGTGTGTCGGGGGGGCAAAGTAGGTTCCCCAGTAGGCTGCAGGCCCTTGGCGGAGTCCAGGGGCCGGATTCTCAAGTGCGTGAAGGCGCCGTATCAACACTTCGCTCTTGTATAAGGGAAATACAGCAGGACGGTTGAGGCCTCCAGCGCGCCTTAACTTCAGGCTCCTTTGAGAATCCGGCCCCGGGGTAGAGCCCCGGTCGGGGACTCCGAGGCGAAACCCCCGGAAGCTCCTGGATTTTAGCATAGAGAGATAAACTCATTAATATCTGCACTAAAATTAGGTAATACATGACATAATGGTTATTTCAATTTGAACACCAAACTCAGTTGTAGCTACCCTCTCAGTTGCAGGGGTCAGGGATCTCAACAATTGGGTAACTAAGGAATTGCAGTTTGTTTACAGGGAATGTCCTCGAAAGTTGAGGAGTGGGAAGGGGCAGAAGTTGGATCCCGCCCACCTTCATTCTAAAGGGGGGTCGCCTCCCCCTGCTATCCCTTTTCCTTCGTCTATGCTAACTGACTTGACAGGACTTGATTTTATAGTTTAACAATAACTTTTTACAGTCCTTGTTACCATGTAAAAATATAGATAAGAATAATGAAAATATGTATATACCTAATTACTGCTAATGAAGATGTGAGACTTCATATATGAATATGTTGTAGTATTTGTTGTGACTGAAAACGAACTTGATATATCTTCACAGTAGCTACTCTTCTAACACGTCACATATGAATATTCATAATTAGTTTCGCGGATGCCACTTGTCGGCGATATAAATGTCAATAGCAAACTGATATTATAAATATGTAAATAAATAAACAAATAAATGAATAAAGTTGGGTGATCATCAAGAACCTTTGGATATTTGACCTTATTTGTGTCTGTGTGTATATGTGTTTTCTTTTTAATTTCCCTTTCTCATTCTCCGTTTACATATTTATCAGCGTTACAATACTTGACATGACAACCAACAATGCTGACGATGACAACGATGACGATAATGATAATGATGACGATGATGGCGATTATTATAACGATAATAAAACAACAATAGTATCGATGGTAATAATAATAATGATATTGATAGTAAACAGTCATGATATTAGTGATAATGACACCATAAATATTTGAGGTACACACGGGCAAGTGTTCCCAACCACTTACATTCTGACCGCCATCCAATCACCTAAATGGACAGGAAGGAGGTAATATGACGTATTACTTGAAAACTTGAAAAACTTGAAAACCAATAAAGGAATCCCATACTTCGAGAAAAAGAAGAAAAAAGTAAGCGTTATATGTTTTTCGGTTAACATTATTGTGCATTTCCACTTTTATGATTAGAATAATACTAATACCCGCAGGAGAGCGTATAACATTTCGCTGATAAATTTTGGAGAAGAGTGTGCTGCCGAACACGAAATTTATATATCAAAATCATCACTTCAAAAGTATCAGAACAAAAACATTTAATGTAATTATATTATGCGAAACATCTTCCCCTCTATTAATATTCTGATTGACTGCTGACATGCTGTCTACGTATAGCAGAAGTAAGTTTTACGTTTTTTGTGGTATATATTTCCTTTCCCTGAGTCATTTTCACTCCGGTTTTATGACGTGTATGCCTCATAACCCGTTCGGGTCGCTGGAGTATTTCTAAAGTTTACTTCTTAATTAAAATATGCATGAGAACTTGCATCTATTGAAAGTAAAATCCCAAGTAATCAGCCTCGTTCTCTTGGTTTGGATTCGACTCTCCCGTTTGTAACCAATAATTAAACTACGTAAGTGACTGAATAATAGGTCCAAAGCTTTAAAACGAAAGAAAATATGCTACACAAATTTCATAATGGTGGAGTATCGAAATACATTCTCTCTCTCTCTCTCTCTCTCTCTCTCTCTCTCTCTCTCTCTCTCTCTCTCTCTCTCTCTCTCTCTCTCTCTCTCTCTCTCTCTCTCTCTCTCTCTCAATGGGGGCTTTTTTAATATTTCTTTGTCTCGAAATTTGTCTTTTTTCTTCTTTTTATCATGTCTTACGCACGCAAATAATGTTTTCTGGTCCGTTACTAATTTCGAGATCATGTTAGATGCATTAGATTATCAATTTTTAAGATAGCAATTTTTTCCGAATGCTCGATCCAGGTTAAGTATATTAAGTAATTGTCTTTGTATACTTATCATGGGCACAATTCTAATCACTGTCAGTTAGGTAAGACCATGCATACAGAATGGATTACGATGAAACTGTATGAGTGAAAGTGCCCATGCGTCAAGGGTGAGTCCATTACTTTGCTTTGTGCTCATTCCCTTTTCCTTTCTCGGACGGAGGGTATCATGATTTCCCTGTCAGCACCTCCCATCATACTCTGAATACTTATTCAGCCATATCATGACCAGAACTATAGAAAAATGGCGAAATCGGACGTCGTAATGCGCTGCATAAAATCCCTAGGAAACACGCCCGACTTCACCAATGAACCAAATTGACTTGCCAAATACTCGCGTCTACTGTACACATGTTGCTACCTCCTACTAGTCTGTTACCCATGTCCGACTGTCAGAGGAATTGGCAAGTTGAGTAAGGCAGCAACTTGTCATTTGGCTGTAAATATATATAAATAAATATAAATGTAAATAAATATAAATGTTGTAATGGTGATGGTTAATTGTGTCATATGTCATATATTATGCTCAATATATAAATTATTCAATATATAATTTATATTAATTCTGAGGGCGCCCTACCGCCACCATCATCACCATTGCCATCATAATCACACGCACGCACACACACATACACACGCGCAAACAAACAAAAGTATCTTTCTAAATATCTACAATATACTAACATAAGGCGTATATGTGGTCCCAGAATTATGTGAATTGTCTGTCCTTTTAAATATTTACATGTTTCACATAAAGTCTTCAGTCTTGCTAATTATAAATAAGGAGTTACAGGTGCCATTCGCGTGTAGAAACTTGATTAATTTTATATAAAGCATAAGTTAACTATATATTCTATTGAAATATAGCACTCTCAGTAAATGTACACATGCGATACATTACGAGTAGGCAGTTAGTCATGACGTCATTGTTAGTAAGTCTGCATATTACACAATCTATATTTTAGTGTTTGGTTACATAGTTAGATTAGCATATTAAATAATTTTATATTTCCATTTTCTTATAATATTACGATTTAATAATAGATATTTTAACAAATTAACTCTGTCGGCTTAGACAGGTTCCAGCTGCTCCCTGGGTGACGGTTGGCGCGTCCAAAGGTGTTCGCAGACTGTCCGTAAATACGATTAAATATTTTGCAATCTAGATTTTCATCTATAACATAATCATCGTTATCCTCACGTCAGTGCACTACAATTATGATATAGAGTCCGTTGATGTGAACATATGTTCAGGTTATTGATAATAGTTTAATTTTAGAATTTAATAAACTTACTTTCTATTTTTTCAGTCCAGGAAAGAAAATCGTGCTTATGCAACCAGCTAATTCCAGTCAGGAATGCCGACAACACTGACATTTGGTGTACTTGTAAGTCTTCATGCATAAGTGAATCTGCAGTAATTATTTAGTAGCAAGTATTCATTGCAAAATAATTAATATTTTTGGGTACAGTTCAACAAATTGAAAATTCATAATTCATCATATTGTTAACTTTTA